GACGAAAAAGTGCAATGGATCAATCATTCAGCCATATTCATGTCATTTGTCGCTCGAGAGCCTACCCCAAAACTCTGTACATGGAACACTAGAATCCTGTCAGAAAGCAACCACTGAATGTTCGACGTCCGATCAGATTTGCACAATGCAGCGGAACGTGTTCGCTGTCAACGAGTAAACGCCCCAGCTCCAGGCGGTACTTCCAGCCGGTCTGTAAACAAAAACACCCATTTGTGCCAAGGTGGAACGTGGTGAAACTGAACGCTACATAACCAAAACCGCGTCGTGCAAGCTCAGAAGGCGCTAAAGGAATCGCTTCTGGGTAGTTTCCTGCCCTTGTCATACAACCATTTGTAGTTTAACCCTGGAACGACTTGCGGGCCTCTGGTAGGGGATGGCGAAGTTGGTTCGAAGCTCGATCGTCTCGGTCTCCGTTCACGCAGACTTTGGGATCGATTGAGGCCCGAATTTCCGCCACTGATCGCTCCAAACGATGAATGATTGTTGGTGCCAAATTCACCATCCAAGAATTGCGAGGACTGGTTCTGGCTCACAGCTTTGTGGAATAGAGGACTTGCGGTCGGAGAAGGGGAAAATGGTGAGCCTGAAGCCGTGCGACGGAGGGATTGCGAGGGTGTGGGTGAGAAGCCCAGGGTGTAGCGGGATGTAGATAGAGGGGATGAAGAGTAGTTCGCCGAAATACTGCGGCGGTCAGTCGAGCCAGAACCGTAACCCTGTGTGGGACTGCCGCCGAACGAAGCAGAGAGACGTCGATAGCGCGGAGGGGTGACGTAGCTGGCCGCCGAGCCGGCCGGGCTCTGGCCTTGATTAGCGGACGGATTGAGGCCCAGGAGGGATCGTTGGGAAGGTGTCAATGGGATATCCGTGATCTGGTCCTTCTTGGATATGTATGGCATGATGGGTCGGAGGAGAAGGATGATATTGAGGCAGAAGAGGAGGCGGATAATAAGAAGGGCGGTCCGGGAAATTTGAGTCGGGTCGGCAATGCCGCTAGAACTCAGCAGAGGAGGAACACTGCTAGAAAGTTAGCTGTTGCAATTCGCAGCCTCTACTCGAACATACCTGCGGTAGTATACATCACTGAAGATGAATGTAATGAGCAGCGCGGCGGCGTTGGTCATAGCACCCTTGACGCTTCTGTCCGTAAGTGCTGTTGCAGCATTCCTCCTCAAAATCTCTGTTGTCATCGGGTGTCTAAACTTTCCTGGGGTGGAGGGAGGAGTGGGAGTCTCTACAGGTTTGGACGTAGATAAACTGAGACTCGGCGTTCTTCCAGAGACATTGCTGGGGGCGTTTGCGACAGCTTTCGTGACGTGCGATACTGCATGTTGAGCACTCTGGAGCGCGGGACTGTAGCCAGACCTCAAAGAAGAGGGAGAGGGAACGAGGGCTGTCGCGGTTGTCGACATGATGGGCGAATCACCTGGGTTTCAGCATCAGACCAGTTCTTACCAGGGGCAGTGGGTTTTCTGTATCATACCGGTATGAGAAAGAAAGTAAGCAACTCACCTGCTGAAGTGTCAGCTTAACATTATTGTCGTGTCTTGTCGTGTTTCTTTGTGTGTTACGGTCGTTCGTCGTATAGAGGTGAAGTGCATGTTTCAACTTCATTGTTGACGGCTTTCCGTCCTGGGGTCGGCTAAGTTGCTATAAACGTCGAGCCCGCCGCCTGCGTCTTCGCATTTGACTTGAATACCTTCCAGCTTCTTAGGCTCATTCCGACACGTCTACCTGGACTTTACGGAAACGTCCAAGCTCCTTTGGCAATACTAGTCGAGGGGTCCTTGAGCAAGAAGATCTCTCTACATGATAAGCCTTTTGCCACTCGCCGTGCCTACCCATCTAGAAGGGCCGACCACGAAAGGAATTGTCTCAATGTTTTACTACTCTTCATCTTAAGAACTCGAGTCTTTCGCCTATCTATGCGCGCAAACCTGGCAAGGTTGGTGGAGTTCCACGCCACTCCTTGGGACTGATTCTCCGTAAGAAACATGTCTCCTGCAACATCAGTCCTCAGGCATTCTGAGCGGTGAGAAGCGCACATACCTTGGACCATGGCCAAAGGCGTGCCCGCAAAAGCTCACGAAGACTTTACCTGCTGAATTACTGACCGTCCTTCCTCAACTGAAGCCTTGGCTGCCACAGCAAGGAGAGTCGAATCACCATGGTAGAGAATATACTCAAAGCCCAGGCTCAAATTACGCTCCATTTGTTCCTTGGACCCGGTATAGATACCCAAAGGTTTGCCGACCTTCTTTCCTGCTGCAACAATCCGTTCGAGAGCATCAAGGAAGCGATCCTCTTTCCCGTCACCACCGGGCAGACCCAGCGAACATCGCAGATCGAAAGGCCCGACAAAGGCGCCACTGACACCTTCCGTCGCTAGGATAGCATCGGCATTCTCAACACCGCTTGCAGACTCGATCATCGGAAAGACGGCTAATCCTGGGGCAGTGTCCCCGAAATACTGGCCGATTGATCGATCGGATGCCGGGTCGGCAAAGGGCGCATAGGCTGGCCCAAAGCTTCGTTGGCCAAGAGGCGGATATCGAGCCTTTTGCACAATTTGGCGAGCTTCTTCAACAGTATTGACCATGGGGATAACAATGCCGGAAGCGCCGCTATCGAGGCCCCATTTGATCCATTCCACCCCGTGAGACGGTACCCGCACGAGAGGCAAACAGGTACCCTTGGACGCCGAACTTATCGTATGGACAATATGCGTAGCCTCCAGAGCTGAGACAGGAACATGCTCCATGTCAATTATCACACAGTCATATCCCGAGGCGCCAACGATGGAAGCGGACAACGTCGAAGTAAGTGTGACGAAGGTGCCCAAGAAGGGCCCTCGGCTTCTCAGCGTCTCGACAAAAGGAGCCATGTCTGATTCAGAAATTTGCGACAACTGGTTGTGAATTTGGTTGCGGTGAGAGAGTTTTTGTGACTCTTGACCAAAACAGAAAATCGACAGATGTACTTGTCCTGAGCACGAAGGTGAAACTGCACAGGACTGCGCCAGGTTTTCAATATCAAGTGGTTTACAAGTACTCGTATTCCATAGCCTCGCACCTCGGCTCTGTGATGACGAACAAAGCGCGGGGAATGGAGAATGGAGACCGAGCCTTGTTTAAGAAGCACAGCCTTGTCGACGCAATACGTGCCTCTGACCAATACTGTGCTATGTAGACGTCTGCATACATGTGCGACAGAAGGCCATGGGTAGATGTGATTGGATTGTGGAGTAACTATGTTCAAGACCACAACTCTTAGCTAGAACCCCGGCTGAGAATCTCACGCCGAGGTTTATCCTCGCTTCATTCTTCAACGATCGTTAACTACTTTGGAATCTGGCCCGTGATGTTCCACTGCACCCTGCTGATGCCCTTGTTACCCATGAGCCACAGAGTGTCGAGATTCGGCCCCGTGAATTGGACATTCGCCACCGAGTGGTTCGTCTGCACCCTGACGAGGAGCTGGCCCATGTCGTCAATCACGTCGACGCCGTGGCCCGTGGCGGTGACGACGAGCCCTTCGCGACTGACCTTGAGGCCGTCCGGGATGTAGTTCTGCGCCTGGTAAAAGGACCGCTTGTTGCTGATTTTCGTGCCGTTGTTGGCCACGTCAAAGGCGTAGATCGATCGTTTGCCCGTCGTGTTGTAGTGCTTGGTCCCCGGCCCGACCGCGGGGTCGATGCTACCGGTCAACGACCCTGTCTCGGAGATGTACAAAGTGTTCCCATCTGGCGAGAAAGCGATGCCGTTGGGCTGTTCGATAGTATCGTCGATGAGGAATAGAGCCCCTGTGGTGGGGTTGAAGCGGTAGGACGCTGTGGGGATCTGAGGAGCCGTGTCCACACGGCCGTTGAACCATGGATAGTCGGGATCCGTGAAAAAGAGGTCGCCTGACGTTGGGTGGACGGTGACGTCGTCCATGTTGTTGAAATAAAACCCAAAATAGTTGTTGAGGATAACACTAGACTTGTTAGTGGTAGGGTTCACAGTGTGGAGCGCGATACGCTGCTCCGTGCCATTGAGATTGTCGAAGCCACCGCTGGATGCCCAGATGATCTGCCCGTTGTGATAGACACCGCCGTTTGGCGCGAAGATCGGAGGATCCGTCACATATTCCTGCAGCGTCAATGGTTCCTGGTTGAGGTCGACCATGAGTTGCGGCAAATATTGGGACATGTTGCTCAGCGGCGCCAATTGTGGCGGCAGTTGAGACATGAACAGCTTGTTCAGACCGGGCACGTAGACAGGTGCCTCATGCACTGAATTGCCGAGTGGAAACATGAACTCCAACTTCGGTTCCGACCCAAGGTATTGTAACCCGCGTTCTCGATCGAATACCACGAAGGAGGCATTCTGGAGGAGTGAGAAAGAAGGGGCGTTTGGTACACTGGTGTTGCGGAAGTCATACTCTGCATCCAGTGAAGTTATAGAGCGGTTGAAATGATATGGAAGTACAGCCGCCTCGTCAGTGTCAGCAAAGGTATCTGTCTGAGAGTGAGTAAAGCATGACTGCTCACATATTTATTCACGCAGACGACAGAGCCACCGAAGCCGCAGTCCTCCACGATGGGCTCTGTTATACCTGGTGGTTGTTTTTGTGCCGCTGCCTTGGCTATAAGAAACGAGGTAACGACACCAAGGACCTTCATGTTGGGCTATGAGCGTCAAGAGTCGCAGACGGCAGGGATGACTGTGTCGAAAGGAGTGGCCACCAACAACAACATTCTCGTCTTTTTTCATCCAAAGTGGCTGAATATATCTTTCAACGGGCCTTTCCTGTCTCCAAGTTTTTGCTCTGTATCGGGTTGCTGCCGCTCGTGGTATGATGCTCTCCATCCCCACCAACTGTCGGAGAAGCCCACGTCTCCATGATAGACGTCGGCATCATCTGGAGCTTACCTGAGAGACTTTCCGCCAGGAGTCTTTTGGGAGGTACCTGGTATGCTTCCTGCCGTTGCCCTTAGCTCACCACGACCCCAACGAAAAGTCAGCAACCGATGAGTGCTTGGGGAAGTTGGGGAATTGCTCTACAGATCTCGGTGGTATGCACAAGGAACAGGTATAGTTTAAGTAACCGTTCATGTCGATCCTCTTGGCGCGATCATAGAGCCTTTAGTTCGGCACCCTTCCTTGGAGTAGTAGTCGGTGAGCAAGGTGGCTTGGGTGGCAAATCACGAGGGAGGCAGAAAATGGCGGCTTTAGTGGAAATCCCCGTTTTTCTATCGGGACGGTCGAGGGTATGAATCTGGGGTAATAGAGAAATTCCACGGATTTCTCAATCGATAAGTGCGTGTAAAGTCGCTCCACTCTACCGTTAGCGCCAAGCCTCATTTCTACGGCGGTGTATAAAGTCTGCGACAAGCGAGTTCTCTTGGCGTGTGTGGCTTGGCACGCCTGATGAGCATCTGCAGTCTCGACTCGTCCAGAATCTCATCTACAAGTTTGTTTCTCCTGTGACTTGCATTCCCTCCAATGATAATGGATGTCCCCATTGACACTCCCTCAGCTGCAATGATCCGGTCTCCCCGGCTACCATCATCGACTCACCGACTTGGACTTCGAGCCCGCCAAGCACGGAGTAAGGGGGTGAAGATAACCTCAAACACTTGCTGCCAGTCAAGCCTTCTTGGCCGCTCCTTACAGACCCCGTGGCAAAATTTCCAACCGTGCTACAAGCCTGTCAGTGGCTGTCAACAGTCACCAAGACGCCGGGTATCCCTCGACTCCGCGTCAGTGGAGAGTCTTGGTCCCTATCCGTTCAAAGGTCCTTCTTTGTGACCGTGCCGACCTTGATTCCGTCCTACCCAATGAGGCCACCAATGTTTCCCTCGTTTCAATCCTTGCATGCCCGAAAGCGCTGACCCCTTGACACGAGCCAGTGACATCCCCGGCGACAACTTACTGTGCGGTTGTCTACAATGCACCTTGGCCGCAGCCTTGTGTTAGAGATCTCTCGCGTGGAGGGCTTGGTATCCGTTTTATCCACAATATCACTGCTTGAAATATCCCAGAAACGTCTGCCACAACCAACAATCTGGCAGGCAGAAACCCACTTGTTGATTCCATCACGTAACGATTGGCAGGGTCCCTCAACCTTTTGCGCTCAGCTTCAGCCTCTCGTGGTTGTGCCCAGTATGATTTCACTTTCAGGAGTAATCGATATGTTATATAGGTAGGTCCCCTTGGCTCGACATCTCCTTGTCCATTCCTCCCAGTAAACAACACAAGACTTCACTTCATTTTCTTCTTCTTTCCGTTTGTTACAGCCGCACAGTCGATCGTCAGGGTGCTGGTCGCCTCTATATTTGAGCCTATTCGAGTCTGTGCATCGTATTCCTCTTTTAATCTGCTCCTGCATTATCTTTTTTTCTTATTCATTTCTTTCCTTCACACTTCGAGGAAAAAGCAATATAATAATTGAAGGACGTCCAACATGTCGGAGGGATCTTGTCCCATCAGTGGGCATAGGGGTGGACCCGGATCGCAATGCCCGGCTGGTGTCCAACGAGTTGGTCCGCGAGGTTGCGCTTTCGCGGCTTATCAGATGTCTACACAGTCACACTATACACCTCAAGGAGTGGGTGTCCCAAAAAGAACCTCAGTTCATACCCCTGCTAACATCTACAGATCCCAGCAGACGGCCAGTCAATAGAGGACCTCGTCTCTCAGGAGAGACAAACAATCACAGAACTACTCATCCCCGAGGCACCGTCGACAACCGTCACAAGTGGTCTCGCCAACGCAGACCATCTGAACCCCCCGGATCTTGATGTTCTCGCATCAGCCCTTGGTGCTCCGGCCCGGCAAGTCCTGAGGCGTGCCCAGGAATTGGGCCCCCGAACTGGGTGGAGGGATGGGTATCTGACTAGCACGCACGGCTTCTGCCCTCCAGATCCTTCAGCAGCACCTGCCGCTCTCTCGATGTCACCTGGAAGAATATGGTCGGATCTCTGCGAAAGAATGCCTGCAGTGGTCGCCCGGGGTAAAATGCGCGAGTCGATTCTGGCTTTGCCTCTTGTATACGGTACAGAAGACGTCATACCCGACCAAGCCCTCTGGGCCGCAGTTGTTTGTCTCGGTATCCTTGCCAGCGTTTACAGATATGAAGAACGAAACGATGGACACGAAGGAATCAGCATAACCGCACCACCCGGCACCTTTCGAAACCTGTCGGGCGAAGCAGACGATGAAGAAGAGGAGACCAAAGGAATACCCAGGAATATCGCCATCCCTCTTCGCCAGATATGTACGAGGATGGGCAGAGTTCTACCACATTTGACCCAGTACGACGTCTCTGTATACAACTACAAGCTTCGAGATCCCACCAGCATCAACCCGTATGTTGCGAGATGCGAAAACATGGACCTACGGTGGCCTGTGTTCAATGATCGCGGTGAAGCTATGTTCCTCTTGTGCATGGCTGAGACCCATGGATGCTTCACCCAAGGCATTGAGGTCATCACAAGATGTCAAGAACGAGTCATGCTCAAGGATAAAGAAGGACTACTTCGAGAGCTGATCAAGCTGAAGGCTATTGTGGACCGATTCGTCAATGTCTTCCAGAAGATCAGCGTGAATCCAAACTCCGGCGAAAATTTCGCGAATCCCGTCGAGGTAATCCTCCTACTTTCTTTGACTTAAAGCCAGGGCTGATTATGTTCAAGTGGGGTCAAAGATATGCAAAGTTCAGCGCTCCCCTCTCCAAACGTGTTCCTGCGTTATCCGGACTCGCATTGCCAGTATTCCTGTTGATGGACGCCTTTATCGGGAGAAGGAAATACGATAGCTTCCTTGGGAGAGAAGCCTTACATCTTAGAGCTTGGCTACCCATGAATATTCGAGCATTCATTGCTGCTGTTGAGTATCATTACCAGGTTCCTGCCTTCGTGAAAGAATCTGGCGACCCACGCCTGATGGGTGTGATGGAAGGCATCCTTGAGGCGTATCTGTCCGAGCGTGGCTGGTTTGGAACACACCGCTGTTTGTCAAACCTCCCTTTCAAATGATGTAGACGGTTGCTAATTCCTTTCGGTACAGATAAAGTCTATGGCTTCTTGGAAGTTGTTGCCAAAACTGGTCGGAGTGAGACGAACGGGAATGCCGGTTCATCCGACAATGTTGGAAGACCTTGGGAAGAGGTGCACAAGACTCTTTCTGAATCCATGCGAGAACGCTTAGAGCCTTTCCGAGGTAAAGTCACGCTGCAACCCCACGAACTGCGAGGGTCTTTCGAAGAATGCAGATTCAAGGCAAGAATTCTGTCGCGTTCCTTTGTGGACTCTGATCCCCAGCGATCAACGGCCATGGTAACTTTCGGACTTGAAGGCACTGGCATTACCTTCCAGCCCGGAGACCGACTTGCGATTATGCCAGTTAACAGCTGGACCGAGATAGCAAAGATCACCGCCGCTCTGGGGCTCGACGAGCTCCTTCACAGGTCAGTCCCGCTTTCAGCAAATGCGGACTGGCATCGCTTTGCTCGGCATCTGAAATCGGTCAATCGAACAGACGGCGAACCCTCTCTGACGGTCCAAGATATTCTACGACGAGGACACTTGGCGCCCCTGACTAAAGATGTAGTTATGGCCTTCCATATGGCACTTCGAGCCTCATCATCGAGTGTGCTGAAAGTTCTGGGATCGGAAATGTGGCCAGTCGAAGGCTCCATAGGAGACTTGCTTCAACTTGCAGTCGCAGAAGTTTCCTCGACGATATGGGACCGAGCATTCAATCTGTCCGATCTTTCGTGGCTTCCGAAATTAATACCGATCGAGGTGCCCCGGACCTATAGCATCTCCAACTTCTCAAACGAGCTGCTGCCGAGCACTGTTGATCTGACTGTCGCTCGCACGGAGTCCCAGCTGGCGCCAATACTACAGGCCACCGCCCCGTATAATCGGCGCCATGGGGTGAGCAGCGGATGCCTCAACCCAGATCCTACCATTTTTGGAGAGATGCTTGATGATGAAGAGTACCTCATTGGGATTTCCAGGCCCATCAATTTTCAACTTCCAGTTACCATGACTGGTCCCATCGCCATGTTTGCAGGTGGCTCAGGAATTGCTCCTTTCAGAGGCTTCTGGCAAGCGAGAGCTCAAACCAGTGTCGGAAGGAACATACTCTTCCTCGGGGTACAGTCACGGGAGCGATTGTCCTACGAGCATGAGCTTCGACAATATGTACAAAACGGCCAGATTGAAGTCCACACTGCATTTTCGAGGGACACAAAAGGTCTTGTTTATGATCCAGTGTCGCGCGACCTCGTTGAGAAACAGATGAGTCCTCGGTACCTTGACGTCACGATAATTGAACAAGGGCGAACGGTCTGCGATCTTGTCATCTCAAAGAGTCAAGGAGGGCTCGGAGGCCATCTCTACGTCTGTGGCTCCGTATCGATGTATGAGACGATCATATCGGGGATTCGACATGCCATCTATCAGAATTGGGCGTCAACAAAAGAGACGGCGGACAGCTTGCTTGCCAAAGCATTTGCGGAAAGACGCTTCATGTTGGACATTTTCATGACACCACGTCCTATCAGTTATGCCACTCCACGGATCCCTCTATCCAAGCTGGCCCTGAATACTGGCCACCGAAAAGGGTCTAGGATGTTCATCGGTGTTCATGGTGGCGTTTACGACATCACTGATTTCCTTCCCATCCATCCTGGTGGTACCTTGATTGCCCAAGCAAGTGCCGGCCTGGATGCCTCAAAGACATTTGACGATGTGGCTCATACTACAAACCCAGAGGTTATGAGTCTACTGTCAAAATATTTCATCGGTCACCTTGCCACAAAGCCTGATTTCCGATCTATTGAGATCAGTGGCATTTATGATCTCTGGTATCAATACCTCCGCAGTTGTGTCGAAGCCCTTACCACGTTACATTTCGAGGTGGACTACATCCAGCAAGATGCCCGGACCTGGTTTCAAGGCGACCTCTTCAACATGGGAGGCGTGAGGAAGTTCTACCAATTTCAGTCGAGGCTGATGCAGAATGGGTTTTCAACCTTGTTTGGCGCGAAGCTTCAAGAGCTGCATCTCAAGCTCACCTTCGCGCTGGTCAACTCTGGCACACCCGAAACTCGAGTGCCGGATGTCATTGGTGTCATCACCAGAGCACAGGCATCTGCTGCCGCCGCCAATGCAGCGAAGGAAATCGCACAGATCGGCTCCTTTGTCTGTAATAACCAACAGGCCCAGTTCCAAGAAAACGGGATTTTGCAATACGCCCGTGCAGTGACTGAGTTGGATGTCCGATTTCTAGAAGAAATTCGCGAGGATGCTTGCATGGGGATGGATGCCTTTGATGTCGTCGCGTGCATCGAGTCCGGTACAGAGAAGCACAGATTGGTCAGTCTGAGTACTTACCTGCTTTCGGTCCTGGAACGTATTGCTGAACGCCTCGGCACTTTCTACTCGAGGCTGTCGAGGGAGTCCATCTATCACCCGGAATTGGAGAAGAACCCCGCGAGGACGCGATGGAATGTGCTAAAACGGAAGATACACGATGGATCGTTCTTCATCCTGGCTCAAGCTACAGCATTTAGCGAGGCGACCCGTGCGACAAAACCGTTTCGCTCAACAAGATACGCGGATCAGGATATAATATTTGCTCAGGTTGTCTCGCAGGCCAGGCAAGCGATTGACGCCGGTCAGGCTCGTCTCGGAGGAGGCTCAGGTCGCGACCCCAAACCAGAGAGCACGCGCCCAGCTCGCCTAGCCGACTCGCATACTGCCAGAGCCGCGCATGGTGTCGATACCCCATCGTCCTACGAGGTGCATGAGTCGCGCAATGCACTTCAATCGATCTCGACCTTTATGGACTCGAACATGCAATCGATCAAGCGACTAAGCCAGTTGCCTTCCGACCTAAGTTTTGCAAACATTGTGGCTGCATATGGTGATAATGGGAAAAGGTTACCACCTGTGCCGTCTCTCAAGGACGAGCGTGAAGGGTCTCCAGGCCCAACAGAACACCAACGAGGAGACTCTCAGTCGAACTACGTCGGCAGCTGGCCCCTTCCGCTCACACTAGCTGCGAGGTCTGGATCAAGGCGTCTGAACAATTCCGGAGCAGACGATAAACCACGACTAGCTAGGAGGCCAACAAACGCGTCCATCTCCAGTGCCAGTGGACTTCCGCACAATCCGGCACCCAGTGTCCAAAGCCATGCATCATTTATAGGCAGGCTAGTCCCCCGCGCCCCTGACGCTGCGCAAAATTCCGCAAGGTACGGACCGTTGCTGCCGAATTTGAAAAGTCGAAGTCGATCTCAGTCTCGAAGCAGAAGCGGTTCTGAGAATAGTGCGAGCCCCGTCCGGCCTATGAATGTCTCTGACAGGACCATTGAAACACCTGTTGCAATCTTACATTCACAGCTCATGCGACGGCAAATGTCTAACACTTCAGATCAAACCAGGAGTTTGACGGGGCAAGAGTCCACATCTAGCGGTTTCCCGGCTCAGCATCCGTTGTGGCAAAGCCCGGAAACAGCTGCCTTGCCAGCCATCTCCCAAGGTGCTCCGCATGTCACTAACGAGACACTCCTGAAGCAGATGCAACAACAGAACGAGATTATAATGAAAGCTCAAGCTTACGGCACACCCACTTCCGGCAACATGGATCCGACATCAAATGGACTGCGGGCTCTGAAATTGGCGACAGCGCCAGCAATGAGGACAAGACAAGCACGGAGTGACCGATCTGGAACTTCTGATCTTTCTCCAGGAAATGCGATGGGCAACTTCCGAGCACCACTCCCGCCGCTCAATGTACGATAGAATATCGATAGTAAAAGTGTACTGGGATATGAAAAGTCTGGGTAAAAGGAAAACGGAGTTCATTTGACTATTCATACGTCTAGGATAAAGGCACACTTGCCATGAACATGAAAGGTCCGCAATAGATGAATCTTGAAATCAGATCCTACCGACCTCTGTCAATGTAAGTTTGGTGAGGGACTTTATGGGCGTTTCCTTCAGCCTTGCAGTTTTCTCAGCCTTGCGTGCCTCGTCAATCAACCAAGAGTCTTGGCATTGGTTTCGGAGTGCGAACGTAGCCTCGCCGTTTCCACTCCGCTCATGCTGAACGAAAGGACTGCCTTTATCCTCTAAGTGAGCAGCGAACAAGGTCTCCGGATGGAGTCATGCCTCCTCTCCCGGTAGCACCTGTCACTGCATGGAACCCTCGAATAGTATGCTACTTTCAAACATACCATCACAGCGACCAATACATCTCACTTTTACCACTTCTCACCAACCCCTCGGGCGTTACGCATGTGATTCTCGCCGCTATCCACGTCAATTGGGATCCGCACAACCTGACACTCAATGACGACCCACCGGATCACGAAAAATACACCCAACTATGGGACGAAGTTCTTGTTCTCCAAGACTCTGGCATCAAGGTCTTGGGCATGCTCGGCGGTGCTGCTCGGGGATCCTTCGCAAGACTGGATTACTCCGAGTCGAGGACCGACGTGCCCCTAGCACGGTTTGAAAGCTACTATCTTCCGCTGCGTGACATGATAAGACGTTATAACCTCGACGGAATAGATCTGGACGTCGAGGAGGAAATGTCCCTGCCAGGCATCGTGCACCTGATCGATCGTCTCAAAGCGGACTTTGGGCCCGCGTTCATCATCACCCTCGCCCCTGTGGCTACAGCTCTCATGGCTGGCCGGCCGCATTTGTCTGGGTTTGATTACCGGATGCTCGAGGCCATGCGCGGTCCGAGCATCGCATGGTACAACGCGCAGTTTTACAACGGGTGGGGAGGACTGCACAATACGGCGGCCTACGATGAGATTATTCGCAATGGCTGGCCGGCGGAGAAGGTGGTGGCGGGCATGTTGACGAACCCCAAGCACGGCGGGAGCGGTTATGTGCCGCTGGAATTGTCGGCGGCGGTGTTGAGCTTGCTGGTGGAGAGGTATCCCGGGTTCGGAGGGGTCATGGGATGGGAATACTGGGATGCGCTGCCTCAAGAAGGCGAGAATTGTTGGATGTGGGCTTATTGCATGGCCTTGTGTATGGGAATGAAGAAGGTGCGGGATGCGGCCCTGGTGGTACAGCTGGGGAGAGGGTTGGCGGGCATTTCAGTGACTCGGTGACCAGGAGGCTCAACAAAGAAGACTGGCATGGATATGTGTTCATACAACATGGGCTCAGGAGGCAATGGCCCTGCCAAAGCATCTGGAGCCCAAGCTGTTCCAGGAGAGAATAGAGAGAATAAGGCTGACCAACCCCCTGCTCCTAATGGCCAGGGTACGTTTTTGTCAGACAGATGGCTTCCACGCCACGGCGAAGCGGCTAGTCACGGTAGTCACCGTCTGACTGCCCGGCATTTCGCCTTGGTCGGCTTCTTTGCTTGCGTCATTGGGGAAACGGAATTGGTGGTGTGTCTGCGCTTTGCCTGTCCTGCCTGTGTGCCAACAGCCAACTTTTTGACAACGATGTGATTCATGTCCAACTACTCGCTGCTTAGGCAGTGAGTGACAGCTTCAGAGAGAATCAAACATGCCTTCGCCTGCAGAGATCATAGCTGGCACAAGCTCGTCCGTAGCAAGGCTCGCTGCCTACGCCTTCTTGAGATGGGTATGTGCGTGCCTGGAGCATCAGCTACGCAACGCAGACGCCTCAACTGACCTTGTCCTTAGATCCCCGGTCATCATTTCCCTCCTCTTATCCTCTCTTCAGTGGCAATATATCTGGCCTTCGTCTTCAGCCACCCCGAAGCTTTCGGTTCGAGTAGAGCTGTTGTGTCTGAAGTGCCCTCCGATGCTCCTCCACATGTCAACGGCAATGATCGAACAAAGGCCCGGGACCAAACCAGTGAAGCACACGAAGAACCCGTCTTGTACGAGGAGGAGAAGTCATTGTTCAAGACCTTGGTCTTTGGAATACCCAATTGGCGAGAGAAAAGACGGAGTTACGCTACCATTGGACTGAACGTCTTGTTGGCATTGTTTACGCTTGATTTGGTCTTTCGAGGGCCTCTTCTCCATCCGGCAAAGGATTTGAGCTTCACTCGTGTTGGCTATGTCGACTCGACCTCTGCGAAAATCTTGATTCGAGAGCCTGATCCGGCCCAACTTCCAATATACGTCTACCTGTCTCCGGCGGATAAGACCAGGTGGACTACGACGGACACGATCTACTACCTGGGACCCGATACCGATTATACCCAAGCACTCAGTTTTGATGGTCTTCAGCCATCGAAAAAATATATTTACTCCCTTTCCAATGACAAATCCGGGACCTTTGTTACAGCTGCATCGCCACTCTCGGAAGCCGCCAACAGCTTGACGTTTCTCACTTCCTCTTGTATAAAAGCCAATTTTCCGTACAGACCAACGGCTCATTCTCTGGCAATCCATGGCTTGGAATACTTGTCCAAACTCGTCCGTTCACTTCCATCGCCAGCCTCATTCATGCTATTCCTCGGAGACTTTATCTATGTCGACGTGCCCCTTCGTCTATCATCTTCCCTTGCACATTATCGTTCGGAATATCGACGCGTCTACGCTTCGCCGTCGTGGTCACTACCGGGACTTGATACCCTACCTTGGATCCACACCCTTGACGACCACGAAATCGCCAATGACTGGTCTGGTGGAAATGATACGGATCCTTTTCCGGCCGCTTCAGATCCCTTCATCCATTATCACGTCTCGGTAAATCCACCAATTCCACCAGGCTCTCTGAGTGGACCAGAAGCAAATATTACTTACTTTGAATTCACCAATGGTCCTGCGTCATTCTTCATGCTCGATACACGGCGATATCGGACTGACCCTGAATCGCAATCAACTAGCTCTTTGTCCCGGAGCTCTGAAAAGCCCATGTACGGCTCGTCTTCGGAATCGTCGAATCCACCGTCCACCCGCGAAACACACTCAATGCTAGGTACTCAACAACTTGATTCCCTCCTTGTGTACCTCTCCGCGCCTGAACCCCCGCATGTGCATTGGAAAATCATCGCCACCAGCGTCCCGTTCACAAAGAACTGGCGATTTGGCACGTCTGACACTTGGGGTGGATTTCTCAGGGAACGAGCGTTAATTTTGCAGGCCATGCATGATGCAGAACGCGAACTTGGTGTTAGAGTGGTAATTCTTTCTGGGGATCGCCACGAATTCGCTGCTATACGATACCCGCCGCCGGTCCTCTCCCAGGACCAGGGCCGAGGCCAGATGGGAGATACTGTCGACACGTCCGACTTGGATGCAGCTGAACCGGTCTCCAAGCCTGTCGTCTACGACACGACCCCGGCCTCTGGCCCTCACGAATTCTCAGTAGGGCCGTTGTCAATGTTCTATCTTCCATTCCGGACGTTCCGCCAGATTGACAACCAAGACGTGGCCATCAAGTACATTCCAGACGGAAACAGCAAGATTGGCGTCATTGACATTCGTAGCGTGGCAGGCGATGCAGGGAGCGGATGGCAAAGGAGCATGTTTAAGTATACCTTGTACGTGGACGGAGAGGTGAAGTGGGAGTACACACTTACAAGTCCGAGTACGAGCTCAGCACTGGCTAATGGAGGACGTGGGCGGGAAAGGAGGAAGGCTCGAAATGGTGTGGCAGGCTGGGCCGAGAGATTGGGCCTACGCGGTGGAGCGGGGCGAGGGCAGTCATTGTGGTATTGACGGCTGGCGGCAATACAATAAACTGTGCGGCATTGCCATCGCCACCAGCAGGAAGAAACAAGAGGGAGAGAGACCTTCGGGATACGAATTGACTTTAACAAACCAGTCCTTCGGCGACACTTTCCCCTTGGCTTTTTTGACGGAATCCTCCAATTTCATTGTCTACGACTGGTTCAACTACTATTTACGACGAACGTCCTACGAAATTTGACTCCACGGGGATTTATCGCGCGCATATATAATATAGCCCAGGCAGGGAGGGATGGAGGGAGAGAGGGAGGGAGGGACGTCTGGCCACCCGAAAAAGAATTGAATTTATGTATGTATCTAGCGTATCC